TCTCTCTCTCTGTGTCCAGTACTAACCTGTGAAGATGGCGCCTTGATGCAGGTACCTCGAAGATGGAGCTGGAGCTATGGCGCCACAGGTAAGTACCGCTGGCCTCCGCCAGCCATCTCTCTCCAACGCTACTACTACCAGCTACTAGCGCCCTGCGCTGAAGACTACTCCTGCAGCTATGAGCGCCCAGCGCTGAAGACTACTCCTGCAGCTATGAGCGCCCAGCGCTGAAGACTACTGCTAGGGCTAACTACTACTGCAGCGCTCCTCCTGAGTGCTGCGGCCGAATCCTGAAGACTACTCGTGCCTACTGTCCAACTACCTACCGGTGAAGTGCATGGGAACTTCCTATGTACTACTCGGGTGCCTCCTGACTGCAGGGCGAGGCAGTCCAGGAGGCTGCTCTTGCCAATGCCGAAGGGAGTCAGGGGCTGCCGCTGCAGCTCCTGCTTGAGGCTGTCGTGGGGAACAGGCCAGAAATAGCCTGTTCCCGAAACCCTGTTTTTGTGCCTGAGTATTAGGGTACGTCGATCTTATGAGGGCCCGAAAGTGGCCGTCCGTTTCAGGGTGAAAAGCCTCAGGGCTGAACAGCCCTGTTTTAGGCTGAAACGACATAGGGCCTGCAGGCCCTCGTTTTTCGGTCTTTCAGGCTGAAACGACAGGGGCATGTAAGCCCTTATTTCTAGGCTTTTAGGCTGGAAATGCGGGACGGGCCCTGTAGGCCCATGTGGCTACTCAGTATGCCACACCCCCCCCTCCTTGAAAACCGAGCTTACCTGCGAGGGCGAAGCTGTCTGTCTGAGGGAGGGACCACAGTCCGGGTGGGAGGGGCAGGTCGTGAAGGTCCTTGAGCTAACCTTTGTCGCTCGTAGTGAGCGTAGATCAGCGGTGCGGATGCTTTCAAATCTGTTCCTGAAATCCACCGAGTGTCGTCGGGATCGCATGCTCTGAATGTAACTTTGTACTGGCGAGGCTTGTTGCCGTACTTGCGATCCGTGATGACGGGGTCAACTTCCTGATGAACATCCATAGATGGAGGGTCCTGCGATCGTCGGCCTGGGAAGTCGTCGCTCTTAGCTGGTGTATATGTTGCCAGCTTCGAGGCGTGAAAGACTGGATGGACCATCAAATGCGCCGGGATGTTGATCACAAATGAAGGGCCATTGGGCACATCGGCCGCGGCTGATGTTACGGGCCATGGTCCAAACCACTTGGGAAGCAGTTTGCGTGAAACATCCTGTTCCAGTGCAAACTCTTCCGCGGAGACCCAAACCAGATCACCGGCGCGGATGGGACATGGCACGCGACGCCTGTTGGCTTGCTGCTGCATGCGGACTTGAGCCTTTTGCATGTTCGCACGGGCTTGAGCCAGCAATTCCCTGTACTTCCGGACGGAAGCGGGAGAGCAAGCGGCGTCAATGTCGGCTGGCCGTGGGAGGAGAAGGTCGGCAAAGATACGGCCTTTCCGTCCACCGTGGTGCAACTCGAATGGAGTCACGTTGATCGCCGGGTGCATCGAAGTGTTGCAGGCGAACTCGATGTCGGGGAGGTGGTCAACCCAATCTTTCTGGTCCGGACGGATGAGCGTACGCAACATCATTTGAGCGGTTTGATGTGCCCGCTCCGTTTGCCCGTCCGTCTGTGGATGCCGAGCCGAACTTGGTTTCATCTTCGTGCCGGACTCCTGCATGAGAGCAGTCCAAAATGCCGACATGAGGCAAGTGTCGCGGTCGCTGACTATGTCTTCCGGTACACCGTGGCCACAAATCCAACCGGTGTGCAAGAGGCGTGCCAGCTCGGGAGCCGTGGAGTAGTACTTGCAAGGGAGAAAACGCGCATACTTGCTCAAACGGTCCACATCCGTGAGGATGTCGTCGTGTCCGAGGCGATCGCGGGGGAATGGCCCGGTGACATCCATGGCAATGGAGAGGCCGGGTTCCCGTGGGATAGGCATCGGGCGCAACTCGCCGTAGGGGTTGCGATTGCGGGGCTTGCTTCGTCGGCAAACTTCGCAAGAGTCGCAATACCGAGTGACATTGGTAATGAGGTCGGTCCATTGGAATCGTTGTCGAAGCCGTGCAATGGTGCGGTTGACTCCGAAATGGCCGGCGAGTCGCGAGTCATGATACTCACCGAGAAGGCGAGTCCGAAGACGACGGTCTCGTGGGACACACAATAAGTCCTTGCCTCTCGAGTGGAGGAGCAAGTATCCGTCGGCAATGCGATAGTGGCTGGCTGGGTGATCCGAAGATAGCTGCGCATACAACGTGGCGAAGTCCGGATCCGACTCATATCCCCGGATGAAGTGTCGCTGAAGTTCCTCGTCGAATGCGAAGGCATGATGTGTCATAGCGCAAAGATCAGGTTTTTGCGAGAGTGCATCTGCTGCGCGATTGGAGAGGCCGGGAAGATGTTTCGTTGTGAAGTCAAATTGGTCGATGAAGTACATCCATCGTCCGATCGTGCTGCTCACCGTATCCTGCGTCTTGTAGTAGGTCAATGGGTTGTTGTCCGTTACCCATGTGAACCTACGACGCCCAAGGAGGAAGTGCCGCCATCGCTTGAGAGCCATCACGAACGCGAGCAGCTCCTTCCTTGCATCATCAAGGGAATTGATGGGAGGCACTTTGTGGCTGAAATACTCCACAGGGTGCCAGTCGTCGCCGTCGTGTTGTTCCAAGACTGCCCAAATGCCGTAGCTGGAAGCGTCAGTTGTCACTCTCGTAGGCGGGGTGGGGTCATAGATGCTAAGGACGGGTGCCATGAGAATGGCCGTCTTAAGTGCTTGGAATGACCGGCGTGCGTCGTCATCGAATACGAATGGCACCTTTGGCGATTGTAATCCCATCATAGGTGCAACAATCCTTGAGTATCCGGTGATGAATCGTTGATAGTAGCCCGCCAACCCCTTGAATGAACGAACGTCCATGGTGTTGGTGGGCTCGGGCCATACGCGGAGGGCCTCGATCTTGTCCGCAAGCGGACGGATGCCTTGCGGCGTCACATAATGCCCCAAGTACTCCAGCTCCTGCCGCGCGAATTCGCATTTGTCGCGGTTGGCTTTGTACTTGGCTTCTCGTAGCCGCTCCAAAACGGTGCGCAGGTGTTCCACATGCTCGTCCAAACTCCGGCTATACACCAGGATGTCGTCGAGGTAGATAAGTACGAATCGATCCAGCATTTCTCGGAACTCCATTGTCATAGCCGCTTGGAAAGTGGTCGGGGCATTCGTAAGGCCAAATGGCATAACCAGCCATTCGAAATGCCCATATCGTGTCTTAAACGCGGTCTTGTAGTGGTCCTCCTTCCGAATCTCGAGTTGGTGATATCCCGACTTGAGGTCCAGCTTGGAGAAAAACTTGGCGCCGCCCAGCCGTTCGAGAAGGTCATCGATGCGTGGAAGAGGGCCGACGTTTCTGATCGTTTGCGCGTTGAGCTTGCGATAATCGATGCACAACCGCAAATCCTTGTTCTTCTTCCGGACGAAGAGAACAGGAGCACCGTATGGCGATGAGCTAGGCCGAATCCAACCTTTCTTCAGAAGGTCGTCGAGTTGTGCCCGTAGCACACTTAACTCTTCCCGGTAGATGCAACCACGCGGGGGTACAACCCTGTCCTCGAGGATGATCTTGTGGCGGATGGGCCGATCCGGTACAACTCCATGTGGGCCTTCGAACACGTCGCCGTAGGCGTCGAGAACTCGGTGATGCGTGGGTCCGAAGATGAGTCCGTCGATGAAGCGTCATGGGGCGGGAGGGCGTGGAGAAAACATACCCCCATCTCCTCGATGTCGTCTCTGATGATGGAGGCTCGCATGCTTGCGGCGGACACCACATGGCAGCTGATCGAAGGGTGAGGAGGAGCTACCATGCATGGGACTAGTACTCCGTTCCGATCACGAACGTGAACGGTGCGGCGGTAGAAGTTCACCGGGTGATCCTCGCTTCGCAGCCATGACATGCCCAAGATCATGTCGAATTTGGTGTCCAAGATATTGAAGGACACCGCCGCGCTTGCATGCGGGGCAAAGTACACGGGGACGTCATCCATGCACCGGTCGATTGACTTGTGCGTGTGACCGTCTGCCAACGTGACTTGCGTAGGCTGGGACTTCCTCCGGACGCGTGGGCCAAGGCCGGCGCGTACCATAAAGTCCTGGCTCATGTAGTTGCAAGATGCTCCGCAATCGATCAAAGCGTTGCAGGTCGCCTCTCCGATCTGAATGCGTACATATAACAATGGTGCGTCGATGTCGTCGTACCGTTGCGTCTTGAACTCACAGTCGATCTTCGCAATGTAGGCGTGAAGGTCGACAACCTCTACTCTGGCGTCCATCAACGGAGTTGGTACTGCAGTGTGCAAGTAATCCCGCAATTGTGCCATGAGCACGTTGCAATGCGGTTTCGACAATCGACCGGACCAGGGAAGGGGCATCCATTGGAAGTCCGCAAATGTCAATGGGTGGAGCTCTTCAAGTCTTGACCATGACGTTGAATCCTCGACGGTAGATGGCGGCGAAGCTGCCGAATCGGTTGCCGATGGTGATGAAACCATGCATGCGGGGGATTGTTGCACGTGGAACGGTTGGTCCAACGGTGGGACCAAGTGGACAGCATAGTCCTCGTAAGCATACCGAGAACTTACGACATTCGCATCCTCCCCAGATGTGTAGGAGGCCKYTAGCAAGGCGGCCGAAYCTGGCGGAGTGRGAGGTGGAGTCGYCTCAYCTCCCGYKSAACTCAGTTTCCCGAGTTGATGCRAGGCCGAACATCCTCCTTGCCCTGATCCTGGCAGAGGGAGGTCTTGTGCKTGGTGCTATTGCACCAATAGCAGCAGCCGTAACGGCCGCGGTACTTGTACTCGGCCTCGGTCAAGTGAAACTTGACCCATGGTGCTGGCTGTCCGTTTCCGGTCGGCGATGCGGTTTTCGCCTTCCCGTTCCCTCGAGACTTGTTGTTGCTTCGCGGCTGGACAGCAGCCACCTGATCTCCCTCACGCGACGCTTGGGTGGCTGCCGGGTCTTCCACAATGTTGTCCGATTGGACTGCAGCGAACTGCTGCGGTCGTAGACCAGTTTTCACCTTCTCCACATAGGTTGGCTGCCACGTTGACTTCTCGTGTGCATTTGCCCTGTTGGTCTTGATGATCTCCCTTGCCTTGTCAATGATTTCAGCGAAGGTTGCATATTGCTCGCGATCACCAAGTGCAAGGCTCAATGCAGCACATGACCTGTTGTAGAACTCGCGGCGCAGATGCGAAAATGGCAAGTCGAGACCGGGCGTTGCCGCGATCTTCTGCCATTCCCGTGAGCCAGTCACGTGTTGCTGTGTTGCCTTGTGTCATGCCGAAGAGACGGTTGATGGCGAGTGCAGGTGCGTCGTCCACGATGAACCGCTTCTTCCATAGCCGTGTTAACTCTTCCCATGAGATCTTGTCTTTCAGATCTGCGACGTCGACGCCGTGGGTGGATGCCAGGTGGCTTAACCAGGTCTAGCATCCGCCCTTTGAGTTGAGAAACAGGGCGCCGATGTACGTGTGCTTGGCGACGAACAGAATCCGCAGTTGCGTCGTAAAGCCTTCCCACCACAGGACCGGGTCTTGATGCGTGTAGTCATCGAGCTTCTCAATTTGGAATGTCGGCATCTTATAATGCGTTGTGCTGTTGCCATCCTTGTTAGGCAACTGCAGTTGCTGAACCTCGGTCTTCAAGGTATCCAACTGTTTGCTGAAGGTGGTTGGCGCAGCGAAGGTGCTGATGTTGCCGAGCATTGCAACGACGTGGTCGACGCGTTGCTCCAGTTGGCGGGCAGAGGGTGCATTGCTGGACTCGCCAGCCTCCGGTCTTGGTGCAACTTACTCCAAGTCCTGCATACGGGAATCAAGTGCCCGTGCTGCATCCTCATGTTGAGCCTTGTGGTTCCGGATGGCCCGCTGCATATTCGCCAGCTCGGACTGCAGGTGGTTACAAGTGTAAACCAACCGAGTCACGAGTTTGGCCATGAATTCCCTGTGCTGCTCTTCCGGTGTCGCGTCGTCGTGCCCTTCAGATGGTTCAAAGTGCCAATACTTGAGTCTTTCGATGCTGGCGGCTTCATGCCACTGCAGCAGATCCTGGGCTTCCTTTCGGCGTGCCTGGGTATCTGCGTCTGCTTCGGCCTGAAGCCGCTGCTTCAGCCTGTAGGCGGGCAGCCTCGGGTGCCAGCTGGCGCTGTTCCTCAGCTTCGATCAGTGCGAGCTGAGTCTGGAACCGCTGTTTGTAGTCGGCAATAGACTCGTTGGCCAGTTGGCCTGGCATGCCCAGAGCTGCGCCCGTCATGGTGGCGGGGGACTGCTGACGTGGCACTGTTGCTTACGTGGCCCTGCTTACGTGGCCCTGCTGACGTGGCACTGTTGCTGATGTGGCACTGCTGACGTGGCACTGTACCAACTCGGAAATGCATGCAAAGGGTGGGTGGGGAGGGAGAACGCAGGTAGGGAACCAACCCCACAATACTTTCCTCCCGGCCCTAATCAACAGGCAAAAA